GTAAAAAAATATGTAATACGGGGAAGGCAAAACATACAAGACATGTAAATTTCTGTTTTTCGTGAAATAAATTTTATTTAAACTCGAGTTCAAACATTTTCCAAGCTAAATTGTACGGTATTATAAAATCATCGCGGTACTCATATTTCTGCCTCTATTTTTCTTTTTAAATGAAGACATTCCGGGAGAATCTAGTTTGCCACATTATCGAAGTAACTTCTTCTCGTTTACGTATCGCATTCTGGGCATTTCCAAGTGAAATCCGCTTTTGACGGGCGGCTCGATCCAATCAGTAAACACCGAGAGAAATTAAGGTCTTCCTCGCCGAGAAAGAGAAACGCAGAAAGAGGATCAGAACTGATTAAAAAAAAAGAGAAATGGCGGTGCAAGGGTGGTAATAAAGGACACGCTTAGCGGGCCATTACGCGGGCCATAATAGGGATTAAATTTAAGCAGCCGTTATGCAAAATTGCGTTACTTTTCGGCTATCTTCCTACACTATTCTATGAATTCTCTTATATGTTATAAATATGCATAATGTTAGTTCAAGAAATATCATTAATCTTTACATAAGGACGTAGAGTGCATGTACGACGTTCGACGCGCGAGGATTTTAATGATCCGCTATTAAAATATCTGGGTCAATCTGAAAATACAACTGGAATTATTCTTCGGATATTAAAGTTTTTAATCCCTGAGAAATTGCGATATCGCGTGACTCACTCGTGGAACAAGCACAAATCTACGTTTATAGGGCTTTGAATTCATAAAAAAAAAATACGTAAACTTGTGCTCATTTTTCATACGCCCGCCCACGCGGCCGAGCTTTTAGTTCTCAAACTGCAAACTCGCCGGCCTTTTCATTCGGTCGCGTTGCAAAGCTAGCACGTGCGTAAAAGTTTTTAATTCATGCAAACACATTTCTTAAAAAAAACTATCAACTAACTAACTTTATCACGGTCCTGGATATCGTACATGCGATGTACAATTTTCTGTTTTATAAATATTCATGTTTGGTAGAGACTTGCGCTGTGTGCCCTGCAGGAACCGTCTAAAAACTGATGGCAAAGCGAGTTACGAATGTTTCAGAAATCTGAGTTATTCAGTGGGACAAAGATATCAGCACGGTGAAGGATATTCCAGGTGCCTCGAAAATCTAGGTTACCCAGAACGGCTAAAATATCTGGAACGGATACAACATCTAGGACGTTGGAGATGTCTAAAATATATAGAGCACTTAAAGTATCTAGATCGCATGAAGTTTCTCAAGTACTTAGGGCACACGGAACGTCTTTAATGCCTCGATTATGAGGAATACGCAGACGTACTAACAACATCTAATAGCAGAGTGCCTAAACACATATGGCAGCTAAATCACGTTAACTACCTAGCTACTTCGTAAACTGTTCAGAAGGCCTTACCTAACATATTCAGGAAACCCGAAATGTCTATAATACATCTATAATTATCTTTATGGTACTAAGCATATGCTTACAGAGTAGAGTAATAAAATTCAGTAAAACAAGTAATGCACAAATTCACTTCAGGGTTCTGTGTGCAAATAAGTGGATAAAAGAGAAGAGCAACGAGACTGTTTCTCGAAATCACGTTAGATCGGTGAATAATTTCGAACGGAAACACCCTGTCGCGATCGGGGAAGGTGAAGGAAGGAACTGGCGAACGAAGCAGAACCTTTTCTTTTTCGTCGCAAGACGAATCTTGATTAATGGCGCAAGTTTCCAGCAGAGACGTCGGTTATGGCCCGGAATTTATAATGGGAGGAATACATTAAAATGGTCTACGCGAATGAAACTCGGACCCCCGGATCGAGGGGAGGCCATTGTCCCAGGCGGTAATCATGGAAAAATAATGTCGTTTCTGGCGTAATTAGTGCCTCATCTTTTGATCGATTGCGACGATTAAGCTTCGGTGATGTCGATCGAGTAGAAGAAACCGCGTTTTGTACCTAGCTAACTTTAAATTGATCATTACCCTCCGGTGGCGATCTGGTCGCGATTATGCATTATGAATGATCACTGCTTAATACTTATGCGAACATAGCGTGTCTTCTTCCACTAGTCCGTTTTTAAAAGTATATTTAAAAGTATATGTACACATTCCATTTCGCCGAAGATAGTTGAAACTCCATTCGCTGAAGATGATGTTAAAGTTCCATTCTGAGTTTTATTACATGGTTACAAACATTTAGCATAATATCAAAATATTTACTTAGTGAAATTCCGCACTATAATATTTAATCTACTCGATAAAGTAATTTAAAAGGTTGTTTGATAAAACAACTTACATAAAACCGAACATCTGTATGACCTTTGCCAGTTAACGAATACGTAAAGATTATCAAACGTCTGCCACGTAAGAATAAATAAATTAATCATATCTTAACTATTATTCGAAAACGACAAACACGATTGTACAAACATATTTACATTTTCAGAAATGGTCAAAGCTCGCACAGATTATAATTTCGATAATTCGCTATCCGTTTTCGATATGCTATGGTTATGTGATTTCACGTGAAAAGCATCACTCTATGAGTTCATTTCAGCCATTCTGTTTTTGGTTGAGATTGAATGAAGAGCGCGGGACTTACCTTGTAACTGCTGACAGCGTGCGCGCCATCGTAGATGTAAAGGTGGTCATTGCAATCCAATTGCAGCTGGTCGAAGCGGAGCATGAACCGCTGAAGGATACTGTGCGTTTGGAAGGTGATGGTGCAGTCGACGTCTTTCTCGAGCTGCGAGATTAGTACGGCACCGTCTATCTTCCTGTACACATCTCGCATGTAATTCTTACTGCACACATCGTTTATCTGAACTGTAATCAGAAAAGGTACATCAAGTGAGATTACTAAGCTGGGCCACGTACAATTGAACCCTCTAACCATAGTTCGGTTTGGTAAATGCACAGCGGGCGAAATTCCTATAAACTCACGTAAATACACTGTGCCTTCAGTATCGATTCTTTTTTGTAGTTTCATAAAAAAACCGTTTGCAGTAACACGCAACGTTTGTTATACAACGTTCATTTGTCATTAGCAATTGAAATTTTACAACAATTTGAAATGTACTCGATCGATCGAATGTTTTTTGGTTCAATTGTGACTGTTCTGTTTTACGCTTTGTTATTTTTTAATTTCCATTCGTAGCTGGTTCTCTCGTTATAATTTTCTCCAAGTTACTGTGCAGCATACAATCAGAACAATTAATTTCTTTTCCAGTTTTTCTATTCGACTGTCCCTTGATTTTAAAAATAGTAATTATGGCTTGCTCATATTCATTTAAAAATTTCCATTTCGCCATTCTTCCTAGTTTCATCGAGATAATTATCACGTTCTAAACGCGAGATAATTACAGAAAAATCGCACTTGCAAATATCAGAGAAGAAACAGTCCACGTATATGAATAATATTCATATGAACTAAAAACGAGATAACTACACAAAATTCGCTGTTTCAAACGTCAGAAAAAATAAATATTGCATTAATATGAATTTCTCACTCGTATAGTTTACTAAATACGTTTCACTACGCTAATTAATATTACGCATAGATACAAAAAACTGTGACGCAAGTATATCAAAATAAAATGCACCATCTTGACAAAATTATTTGGTTTTTCTTATTTAATTAAACAGAAAAGTTATTAACTCCCAAAGTGCGTTTATACGAAATGCACTCGTCGAAAAGTAGAAAAGCAATTGTCAAGTGGAAAATTGTATTTTGTCTTATTAAGTTTTCATGGTTCGTTTTCAATCGGTTAATGGTATGCAATTACGGTTCATCTATCCTTCAAAACGTTTTCGGCGATTCGCTTAGAGAGTAAAATGGACTGCGAATGACGATTGTGCCACGTCTCAGTGCTCGTAACCTGGTTGCATTGATAAGGAACAATTTTATCGACTTTTAAATCCAGCCAAGTGCACCAGACAACGAGGGCCCGGTGTCTGTCCCGGCTGTTGGCAAGCCAGGTCGAATTATCCAATCGATTGACGACCGATTGATTCGCGCATCGCCGGGATAATAGCCTTGAATTCGATGCGCTCGCGATTTAATTTCGGTCTGCTGAATTCCACGCGATATCGAGGGATAAGGAAAAAAAAGATGTTCCAACGTTGCCTAAGTGTTCGCGTTACGTGATACGACGCGCAAGACGTCCAGTCTGTCGACTATCGAGTTAAATACCCCTAAAGTGGCGCGCCGGTTGACGATATCCAAAATCGATTTTACCCGCGCTAAAAGCACAGTGCTCTGGTACAGTTTCAGACTCCTGGTTAAACTGCATTTACTTACGCATGAAAAATGGAATTCACAATATTCATTTTATGGAACTTGTGAAATTCTGGTTGAAAACTATCGTCCGTGAACGAATTCGTTCCATATGTAATAAAAATTTTCGTATTTTCCCGGGAACACTGTGGCGAAATCAATTTTCACTTGCCACATGAATTATGTATACAATACCATGACAATTGTAAAATTAAATACAAGTACAATCAACTAGCATCCCGTCACGACTTCACTAATTATCGTACATAGGATTCAAAATGTGTAAAACAGAAGGGAGGTTTTAGTGGATGATTAGGGTAAAATCCTGAAGTTGATATGGGCAACCCTTGTGAGAGTAAACCAAATCTGTAACTCATCAAACTTGAAAAACATTGAAAAGTACATAAAAGTACATAAAAATGCTTTACCTCAGTAAGGAGTAAATTTCGAAAAATCCATAAATTAATTTTATCGAGTTGATTACGTAATATTTTAGAGCAAAGATCTCTCGGATACCTCATCGCGTTAAAGGAATATTGATAAAACGGTAAAAGCTATTTTCACTCTTTTTCGACTCAGTAATTATTCATAATAATATTCTTTGCTTTAGAAATATAGTTCTAGGGTATATGAGAAAGCTACAATTTCGTCATGATTACTTCATTCGTTCTTCAGATTTTTACTACAAGAAACATTCTGGGAATTTTTAGAATCACTTCAAAAGTCTACCTCTTTTTCTTTAATTGCTTTTAGAAACAACTATTAACTGTTCCATTAGCTTGTTAAACTCTTTATATGTAAAATAGTTTAAAGTAAAATACTTTAGTATTAGTAATATTATTTATAGTTTATAGTAAAATAAACCAGTAATGAGATGACCAATTAATAATGGTGCAACGTATAAACAACACGTGTAATTCACATATTTTTATTTTAAATAAGAGACAAAATAAATAACCGAAAATGTGTTCTGGCGTAAAATAGAAAGTGTCAAACTCTTGATTCGCTTACTTGCGAAACTGCTTGCAATTCCAATTTCTACGCAACACAGTTATTCCCTCCCTTCTCGACTTTGTCTCCGGCGTCCCCCGACTCACGGAGCAAATGAATCGTAATGCGCGCGTGGGAGGGCGAATTAATTCGTGAATTCGATAAAACTCGCGCCCCACGACAATTTCACGGATGAAAGTCGGTAAAGGCGCGACGGGACGAGGACGTCGACGCGACGCGATGCAAGGATTCGTTTCGGCCGGACGGGTGCGAAAATAGAAAAGACTGCGAGAGGGCGAAGAAACTCGATTGAAAAGTTTTTCGTTGGCTCACGTTGCTTCGGGCAACATCGCGTCGTATGCTACGGCGGCCATGAGATAGTTTTCTGCATGGCGTGGTTGCAGCTGCAGCCTCTACTCGAATATGGGCCGAGAGCATTCCCGATCAAATCCCATCTTCCCGATGAAACTATGTCAAGCCATTATTAACGTGAAATGTTTGAGAAATGATTGTTTATCTTGAACCATGCGGATCGTATCACTATATCGATTTTTCGACAGTAGAACAATATTTATTTCTTGAGTTATCGTACAATCGTCGTTCTGCTGTGTATAAAGAAATAAGTCGCATTTGAATAATTAAGAAGCCACTTCATTAATCATCCTTATGTTGTTTCTAGTTTTAAGATAAACGACCAGCACTTCACATTGTGCATAGGTGATGACATTAATCATATTCGTTAGTCGTGGAGACTTAACAGGTGTTTGATTCACGCGCATAGCTGGTCATAATTGATCGGTATACGAGTCGCGACGCACAATTGACGCAGAAGTGCTTATGTACATCCAGCGCTCGCCCGTTGCTAATGATAACGACGCGACAATGCAAGTCGTATTCGTGAATTCGCTTCAGCAACGTTAACCGCGACGTGGACGGCCATAAATTTTCGGCTCACGGGGAAAAAGTTTCTCTACCGGAAGTTGACCTCTGATCCGTGAAACTGGAGGAGCTGAAGAACGTAAGTGCTATTTCCATGACGAGAATTACGTTTTCTCGCCCTCCGTACTCAATCGCTCGAGCGACCGCGAGACTATCTACAAGGGGGATAAATAAAATGATAAAATTTCCTAACAAACCGAACGGACGAGCTGTGAGAAAGAATACGAGCAGAGAGAGAGCGAGCGAAAAAGACTGTGACAAGGGAAAGAGTTGGGGGGGGGGGGCAACAAAAGGAAGAACGAGGAAAAAAATTAAATCGGCCGCAGCATGCCGTATGAAGAAACGACCTCTCAAAAGGGAACTTTGAGACGGAACTACAAAGAACTTTCGGGTCCCACGGAAAGTCGCGAGCAAAACAAACCGGGCAAGGGGAACAGCGGCGTGGCGAAGAAATAAGCAGGGGAATGGAAATATAGAGGAAGAGCGAAAAAAGAAAAAAGTCGGTAGGAAGAAAGAGAGAGAGAGAGAGAGAAAAAGGAAAAGGGTGCACCCTTTGGCCATGGTCGTGCGCGTTAGCCCTACGACCCTCCAGCAACCACCAACTCCCTTCCCCTGTTTCCTCTCTCTCTATCTGTCTCTCTCTCTCGCTGGTTCGCGGCACCCTCGAGCGAGATTCTCCCTCGCGCTCTGGCCACCCTTCCCACTCGGCTCGGCTTGGTTCGCTCTCCCTCTTGGGACGATGTAAACTCGCCGCTCCCTCCGTCGATCAATATTACTCTCTCTCTTCGAGCGTGGCACGGCTCGTCTGAGCGGGAACTGAGCGCTATCATATTAAGTCGCGAAAAGCACTTTGGCTGCGAGCGGATACCGGCCGCCGCGCCGCGCCAACAAAGTTTTCTCGATTGAACAGGAGAGCCTCTCGCGACGATGACGACGACGATGACGACGCTACCCGGGAGCATGGATTTTATCTGGTACGGGCACGCGGGGAATACGACGGAAACAATGTTATCGCTGCTGAATGCGCGGACGGTACCCCTTCGAGAACCTCGTGATCGACGATCTTACGCCATCGAGATATATCGTTTCGAGGGCTGCGCGCGATCTGATAGGAACAGCTTCGCCGGAGATCGCTCCGGGAGCACTTTTTATAGATATAGGATTCTCTGTTGGTTGCGCGTTTTACTATGTGAGGCGCCGATTATTATATAGGCCACAGGGTGACGCGTTCAGATAGAAATACTGAATTAAGGTAGTTACTTGACTTTTCGAGATTTGGTAGCTTTTGTCATGTTTCATCCTCTGTTTATTATTACTGATAACTCTGACAAAAGCAATGTAAAATATGAGCTTTCCAGAATCAACTTCTAAAGATAATAAGATATAATAATAAGAACTAAAATAAGAAATAGAAAGATTTTCGGATTATTATGCATCCCTTTGGAAAGGCGAAAGTTCATTAGGATTCTTAAAATACAAAAGAAGTTCTTCTTTAGGTTTCCTTTTCTACATTAATATTACAACTGGTTTATTTTTCAAAAAGGTCCGCAGTCTAGTAATTATATATGTATAACTAACACTCACAGGTACTTTAGATTTTATTTCAGATTTTAGATCAGAA